AGCCAGTGCTTCCTCAGCTGTTGGAAGCTCAGAACTTATGTACATATACAGTTAACATAGGTCTAGGTATGTATTTTTAATCGGCATTTGATCCCACAGATTCAGATTCTATAGCTTTAGAGGGGGCCCAGGATCCGTATTTTTAGTTCTCATGTTGTTTTAATGATGGGTCAAGTTCAGTCAGTACTGTAATAAAGTGTACACAGACGTATTCCTAACACACATATTAGGACAGTTACAAGAAAAAAATGGAGTCCGTTGGTGAACACACTAGATGCTCTTGAGCCATTGCTGCTCACAAAGCTGCTGTGAATGGAGAACACGCCATCAACAGTCTGCAGCTACACCGTGGTTCTCTCATTCAGTCCATTAAGCACAGTTGCTTAGTTATTCATATGTTAGCTGACGCTCACAAATCCAATAAACAGTATGGAAATTCACGTCGATGCAGAGTATCGCCAAAATGATTGGAGCCCACCAGCCATTGTTTGACCCTGGTCATGCTCCCAAAGGAAATATCAGGGACAGGACGCTGTGTTGAGATGTGAGAAAGGTGGTGCCCTACTCATGATCAGGTTAACACTAATACATGAATCATTTCAGAATTTTCATTTTCAACTTCATTCCCAAACAGCATGTTTAGAAAAGGGGAAGTGAAGATCACCCACAAAACTGATGAGAGTAGAACATGAAAGTAACTGCTGTCACCTACCGACCAAGTACCTTGTCTTCCTGATTAATAGAGCCAGCCTGCCACTTTTGGCACCCAATTCTTCAGTTCTATTTTACCTCAAGTGAACAGGTGTCCTGAGTGTGGGAATCCTGTGGGGGTTGAGAGAAGTCTACAAATGAATCCCACAGGCCTGTTCACTATTGCTTGAACCACCAGGCATTCCCCCACCCAGGCTCCCATGTGGTACAGTCCATGTCCCACTAGAGTGCTCTCCCTGGTACCTACTTGACAAACTCCTTACCCCCCTCTTCTTAGCTCACATGCCAGCAGGGCTGTGATGGTCTTTAATTCTCAAGTTGAGAATTAAAATAAGACCTGTGATCCAGCCTGCTCCCAGATCTGCATCTTTGTTCTTTTTGCTTTTACGTTCTAGTAAACATGACTTACTTATGTTGCTAGGTCTATTGTTGACATCTGTGTCCTCTCCTAGACTACACTCACTGTGAGGCATCTTTGTTTCACTCCTCTACCGTAAGTAGAGACAGCAGTACCTAGGACATTGTAGACTCTCAGCAAATAAGTATGTGCTGAATGGGAGGCTACATATACATGATTCATTAACTGTTAACTATTAGCTTTCTACTACCAGCCTACAACTGCTGCCACACAAGGCAGTTTTCAGTGCAGCCTTTAGTATTCACATGCTTAAAACCATCCCAAAATTTATGTGGGAACAACGCTGCCAGTTAAATGGAGCTGCTTGGGTCCTGAGTGCATCTTTCCTCCTTCCGTGAGTCAGTGTGCCAGCAGTACCGCTCCGCCAATGGAATTGAGAATGTCTGCTGCTTGGTGCTATGGTCCCATGAGGTCTCACAAGGTTTTTCCCCTGCATTTTGGCTTTGTTCCTATGACTCATATCTCTTCCAAAGATCAGCCTGTTGTCTTCTTAGAACAGTGCCAAGTGCTCAGCCATTGACCTGGTAAATGATAGGTGTTGATGGTGGGTGTGGTCCACCATGTCTGTTGTGATCTTTAACTTCAGAGTTTAAGAGCACCTTGGGAATTATCTACTCCAGCTCACTCTAGACATCCAGGAAACTGAGGCACCAAGAAATTAAATTAATGTAAATTCACAGAACTAACTAGAGACAGTTCTGAGAATGAAGTCCTGGTCTGGTTTTGGGTGGGTTTTTTGTTGTTAAAAAACCCCATTGCAGCAGCAGATGGTCACTCTGTCAACACAAGGCTTTCCTCTTTCCCTTGTCTTTCTCACCCATCTGTGGTGCAGAATTAGGCTCCTCCAACTCTTACTTTTAGGTGAGGACCCTACTTTATCATTGCAACCCGAAGCCGTCCAAGATTCCCCTCCCCACAGGCATCAGTGTTTTCTCCTGTAGGACCCCCAATGTTTTGGGAATGCTTTTCTGATTTTCTTGTTACTTGTTACCATGATGCTCAGTCTTAGACAGAGAAAAACTCAGCCAGTGTCAGTAGCTTTGGTATTTCTTTTGACTCTGTCTCTGTTTTGGTGGTTTCTACTCCACATCCCCAGACCTGGCCTTGGTTTGCTTCTTCTCAGGAATTCTCTACTTCCATCAGGGTCTCCTGCCTCCTAAACACTCCATCATTTCTCAAGCTGTGGAATTGCATGGGGGGAGGGGAGCACAACACAGATGACACTACCCTGTATTTATCTAGTCTTGACTTTCTTTGTATTATCTCATTTGACCTTTATAGCAACCTTGTGTATTATGTGGGAACAGATTCTCTCATTCCTTTCTTACTGACAAAGATGAAATGCAGATTTGCAGAGGAAATGAATCGCTCAGCTGTTGTGCAGCCTCTCATGCACAGGACTGGAAGCAAAGTCTCCAAATCATAGTTTAAAATATTTTCTACTGTCCCACATTTTAATGTTAACAGAGAGACAAAACTTATCACCATCTGGTATTCTAAAGTGAACATAATTTTTCTCAAAATCTTAGTTTTTAAAAGGATATTAATCTGTATTTCTCTAGCATCTTTAGCTTGGTTTTAAGAAAGATCACTGACAATTCAGCAAATGATAGATGAGCAGGTTCTCAGACACTGAATTTTCCTCTATTATAAAATGTTACCAACACTTATTAATTAAATGCTGTATTTGCAATGTTCTGGTTGTCCTTTTCAGGATCAGACTTGGTAAAAATGTATTCACATTCTTGATTTAAACAGTGTATCATCCAACTGTTAATAATTTTTGCAAGTTTTAAAAATTTATGCATTCTAATAACTTCTGTACTTTTCAATTCAAAGTAGAAGAAACATTTTTCCTTGAAGTATAAAACATGATATAGTACTGTATTTGATCTAAAAACTGTTCCTTAAAATAGTTGTTTTACTATAGAACATTGTTGTCTTTCCAGTTTTCTTTTTATTATTGAGTATTGCTAACAGATTTAAATATTTAATATTAGATTTAACTTAAATTCAACCCAATATATCTTGCTGAATTGTATTAATGTTTATAAGTTACATCACTGACAAGCAGAGTGTTTTAAAGCACTTTGTGATGTGTTTACTCCATGGAAAAGAAAATGTAGTTATAGCTTTGCAATTGATACAAATTAGAAACTGACATTGTCCTGATGTTGTCCGGACATGGCTGGCAGTGTCAGCTCCCTCCAGGCTTCTCTGTACCACAGGTCAAGAGGGCTGATATGCAGAGCTGATGAATGGTGTTTTGTAGTGCAACTTCATTTGTCCTCCCAGAGGCCAAAGGTGCACATGAGAGTTTGTATGTAGTAGTCCTGAACTAAGGATGTGAAAAGTCCTTGTGTCGTATGTTCAGAGCTTTCAGTATGATCTAAGGCCTTGGTACAGTTCATACAGAGTCCTTTCATAGACATTGGAGTTGTCCATTTCCTGCAAGATGATAATATCCAAATTCTAAATTTACCCTTGATGTTTTTACTCCCACTCATGTTTAAGTTGTTAGGTTTCAGTGGCACACTGCCTGGAGTATGCCCTTTTGTTGAGACCATTCTTAGTTTGATTTGTTGCCAAAGAAAAAAGTAAGTCTGTTGGGAATATGGTAGGCTTTACAAGTTAGGGTAAGTAGAGAACCATCTTGACAACATGACAAAATTGCACAAGCATTACAGCAAACAATATCTCTACCTATTCAGTGAATGATTTAAAAAAGAAAAAGAAAAAGTTATAAGAATCCTGCCTCAGTGAAGTCTTGACTATTGGTTTTGTCTTTTGATAGATTAGCTGTATCCAGTCACATTTGCTGTCACTTGTACACAAATTTGCTTTACCTCCTTTAGAAATCAGGAATACAGAGGAAAACACACACACACACATACACTGGTTTACACTGAAATCACAGAAAGTACAAAATACTTGAAATGACCTTGAAAGTAAAAATGAAGGTCTTAAAGGAAAATGATAGAGGGGGTGAATTCAACTATGATGTATTATAAGAACTTTTGTAAATGTCATAGTTACCCCAGCGTAACAATAATAATAGTAATAAAAAGATGGTCTTGTGAAAATATATGTTACATTTCTTTGAACAGTAAGTGTTCAGACCAGCATCAGGTATTTTTACACCAATGTATGTGCTGTGTCTTGGGCTACATGGAGCAGCCATTGTAAGGGCATCATCATCTTTAAGTACCAGAATGATTTAGAAACTCTTTCTTTGTTCTTACCACTTATTAGCTAAAGCTTTCTCCAAATGTATTTACTCAGAAGCACCTGGTCTACTTAAGATGGAAAAGAGATAACGTCAAATAAAGCTAATGATTGAAATGTTCAATTCTTACCATTGTGTAAAGACCAAAATTATTTTTTTCAACTGCCTAAGAGTTTCATAAGGGGGTAGGGTATGGTTGATGGTGCGCATCCTTTTTCCTATTTAGTAACTTTTTCTCATTTAGGAAATACCTCTTATTTTCTTCTTACAACATGATTGGTTTTATATACTTATTGCGTACAGCATTTACTCAGTAGAGCTAATTATTACATGAGCAGCTGAAATTTTGAGTAAGCATCTCTTGGAATAGAAAATTTTAAATTAACCTAAGAGGAGTAGGTCCTAGATTCTGAGAACAAATTTCCAAGTATATCTGAAAAGGTCAATTGATTTTAAAGGATGCATAACTGATTAATTTAAACATCATTTTGGAAAACCCATTTGTGACCCACTGAAAGCATCTTCAAAATGCCCTTGAGTAGGTGTCAAGCCAACTGGCACAAATAATATATAGCAAAAAAATAAAATACGTCTGCCCTGTTTTAACTGTGTGCTATTACAATATGTCTGTTTATTCTTTTATAGGTATGAGAAAGTACCAGTCATCTTGGTTGGGAACAAAGTGGACCTGGAGAGTGAGAGAGAAGTATCCGCCAGTGAAGGCCGAGCCCTTGCCGAAGAGTGGGGCTGCCCTTTCATGGAGACTTCTGCAAAGAGTAAAACAATGGTGGATGAACTCTTTGCAGAAATTGTGAGGCAGATGAACTATGCTGCTCAGCCTGACAAAGATGACCCATGCTGTTCCGCCTGTAACATACAATAGCACCTGAGTGAGGCTGTCCTGAACAGGATTTGCCTAGTATTGTGGGCGATAGAAAACTCGCCTACTCTGATTCAGTTTGCAGGATGTGTAGTACGGATCTACCGTGCACTGCAACCCTTATTCAGAAACGAGCAGTGATGTCAGCTGGTGTCTCTGCGTACATTTGGGTTCAGTGACTTAAGTTTTCACCATTGTCCTCAGTCTCCTTAATACATCTGCAACTTGAAGGCACAGGCCATCAGTCTACAGGGTGATCTCATTTGAAAGTGATGGTGGTATTGCCACTGAGCTGAAAGAAGCAACTGTTGTATAAATTAAAAATAATCATGAGAGAGAAACCAGAAGAATTCCTATGACCACTTACAATTAAAATATTTTGTTGTCTTTAAAAAAAATAAGTAAAGGAGAAATATTTTCCTACAAGAGTACTGAATTTCAAGAATCGGGATAGCGACTAACCAGTGCATTCCATCGAGTGAGACACCGGCTGGCTTGCCATCAGGACTGCAGGGAAAGTGCTGAGCTGCCACGGTTCTGGTTTTCAATTGATGCTCAATTGTAAATGCTGTTCTGATTTGAACCCTTGATGGAGAGTCAGAGCAAGGTTGTGTGCAGATAAAATCTGGCTTTAGAATTTATTAAGTCACCTGCTTTGCCACAGACAATGGAGGTTCTCCCAAGGGTTTGATGAGAATTTAAACCGCAAACCCACCTCTGTTAGCCAAGCAAGGGATGGTCTTTTGCTTACTGAACAAGAAGGAAGCAACTGAGATGGAGTAGTTGCCTAGCCTTATTAACAAGGGCGCTCTAGTAGTTTACCTACTACCATCACGTAAGGAAAATGAAGCCATGTTGCGTGCACACGGTCCCGTTTGCAGAACCTCACAGGACAGGACAAGTGTCTGGCATTTTCATGTTTGTTAAAGCAGCAGCTTCCTCCTCGCCTTCAAGGGCTGTGGTTGGGATGTGACCCTGGGCTGACCTGCTTTGGAAATCCAGTACTGTAGCACAGCTTTATTGCAGGCATTTCAAAAGTTGAATAACCATGTGAAATAATTTGGGCTTAAAAGTAGAACGTAAATTACAGAGTGGAAGGCAAGGGACAAAAAAGCCTTTTATCTTTAATTTTCCTGGAGAATTACATAAAGGTTTTCTTGTAACCGTTTTGCCCTGATTACTGAAGTGGCAAATAAAGCTGGAGTGAATATTTTGTTTTGAAAAGGTGCTCAAGTTCTGACGTTTTGGGTTTTCATAGCCGTGAAGTATTTTTCATTTGCATGAGTAATGGCACAGGAAAAACCGATTGAGAAGTTTTATAATCAAGGGTAGAAGGGTTTCACCTCACTCTAGAGTTACAAATGCTGAAGAGATTGTCTTGAGCCCACCTTCTGGAGATGAATTTGGCCTTCAGAACTGCAAGGTCACCAAGCCTGCGATACACTTTCCGCTCACACTTGCTTGGTTTCACAGTCTCGTGCAAGTAACCTCTGTCTTACGCGTGTAACTGGGAGAAGAGTGTGTGTTTGTGTGTGCATGTGTGTCTTACTGCTCCTAAGAATTTGGCACAAGTCAGAGATAATTGCCTATACTGAGAATCTATACTGCAGAATATAGTGTATCAAAAAACATTTTTTCCTTTTGTTTGTCTTTTTATATACCACTGAAATCATTGGTAGCCTCTCCTCCCCAGTGTTTAGTAACTGGCATTAAGATTAAAGGATAGAAAGAAAGGTCGGTAGTATTTTTCATAGGTGAGAAAACTGAAGAAATATTGTGGGTAAAACCAGGTCATAGTTGTTAGAAAAATCTTTGAATTGTGAATATTTAGTCTTCAGTCTAATTTTTTTAAATAATCTTCTGCTATGAAGCACCTTGTTTGTAGGACAAAAAGTTTTAATGAAACAAATTTTACTATGTTAATGCTGATTTGACTCAAACATCTAGAGAAATCAAAGAGTCAAGAAGTATCACTCATCTACAAGAGTAGAAATATTTGTTAGTGAATTGGTTGAGTTTTAAAAGCGCCATCCTCTCAGAGTGATTCTGATTTTTAGAATTCCATAACTGATAACAATTTATGACAGCTCAGATCGCCTATTAGAAACGCTGTACAGATTCCACCGTTTTTGCTGTGCACACATGAAGAATAATGTGAAAGGGTTGGCAAAACATAAGGTGGAAGAGATCATCTAAAATTTGGGGTTTCGGTTAGAAATGTTTGTCAGACAACAAGGTGGACTTTTACTGTAAAGATGTTACTAAGAACTGACTTGGCTACCTGATCAGTGTCTCCACACAACCCTACATACGTAGTGACCAGGCAACAAGACATCCCAAACGGGAAACCCTCCTGCACCCTCGGCGCTCCTCCGGCATGAAGCTAACTCGGCATGAATGAGCGTGCTTGCCCATGGTAGCAAAGGTCAGGAGCAGGAAGAGGGTCCTTGTTGGCATGGGAAATAATAGTGGCTGTGGAGGCGGCTTGGCGACTTGGGAATCACTGTTTATTTCATGCCCTGGTCAGACTAGCAACTAAATAAGTGAAAGTTTTTCTAACATGCCTTAAAAATATTATGGTTTGATCCAAAGACCCACTTTTTCTTTAGCTTTTGGGTTCTGGTTTTGTTTTGTTTTTTATTTTTATACACAGGCAGCATTTTTTTCTTAATTTTTTTTTGATATTGCAACTTTTGGTTCTTCTAAGCTGTGATCGTGATGGTAACTGATGCCTTTCATTTTGTTCATCTTACACAAGACAAGCCAGCATGTGATCAGAAGTATTACTTAAAATCTTTCCTTAAACTACTGAAAGGTGCTTCGATGATTTTCCTCCTTTGGTTTGTAGAATTAGGACTGAACTTTGACTCCATTGCTCCGGTTGCCATCACTCTTTGTGTTAAAACTACTGATTTGCTTTTCTTTTGTGTTTGGCATTTGATTTCCAGTGTGAATGTTGTCACTGTCTGTGTGGATGTGAAAGTGCTGTACCTAGCTTGTGGCTCCTGGCTGTCTGTCCTTTGGTTTCGCTCTTATCAGTAGTTCTCTGTTAGCACTGGGTAACCTTCATTGTCTCCTTAGCTTATCAAATGTTAAAGACTATGGGGTGTTTCTTTTCTTTTCTTTTCTTTTCTTTTTCAACTTGTTATGTGCATCTGTTCAATCTTGATCAGGGTTTCAAGAATGACTGCAGTAGGTTTCGAAAACAATTCATCATTATCGATTTGGGGTTTCCCAGACATACAGTTCACAGTTAATTACTGAGCTCTAATACAACTTACCATTTAAAATTGAACAATAGTTTATTGTTTTGTAACAATGTCAGTTGTTAAATCTTGACATTTCAATTAAAACATGAATTATAGATATAACTCAATGCAAATTCAACAGTTGTATTTGGAGTTAAATTATTTTAACAAATAAATTTATTTAATGAAACTTTGGATTTTGTTTTATTTTGTACATATTCATGAGTGAGATGTATTTATTATGTATAAAAACAAGTAAGAAGTACCACGTAATGAATTTTGTACTCTTCATACAGAAATATATAAGCCAAATGAAATTGAGAATTCATCATATGAAAAAGGAGGCCAATGGATCAGTTTCATACCATTGAAAAGTAAAAATAGCATGGCAAAGATTTTTAAATCAGCTGTCATAAATGTAAACTTCTCCCTATAAGTGCTAGTTGACACTTTTTGGTAGCTAGTTTATTTGGAGCCTGATGCTAAGGTTACCAGAATCCTTCTAGATGGTGAACTTTCACTGTTGCCTTACGATCCTGCTCCCATCACTGAAATATGGCCTTCAGTGACGGCTTGAAGCTGTCTTTGTCTCCTGCCTTGTGAGACCAAGGTGCCAGCAGCTGAAGGTTTCTGCTCTGCAGGCTGCAGGGCCTGCCTGTTCTATATGGGGCCCTTCAGCTGCCTTGATAAGGCACCCATTCATTCCCTAAGCCTGTTGAGAGGATGCCTCAAACCCCTGGCAGCCTTCTACCAGCTGAGAAGCTTCATTGTTTGAGAATATAAGAATAATTTAAATGAACATAACAGAGGCACTGTAGACAGTAACTCTGCTATTTAAAGGAAAACAAGCCTATATTTTAGTGATCAGTTTCTGCTGAGAAGCTTCATGATCTCATTTGGAGTGCTTTCACCTATCAACTGACAGAATGTCTTTGAGGCTGAAAAATAGTATTTCAGAAATTCTCTCAAGTTGTTCATTTATTGTCCCCTGGGGGGTCCATGAATAAAAATATAAATGGCTGAAGGAATACGTTGCTACCCAATTTGGAGCTCCGCTGACCTCTAGGTCCTGTGAAGTAGAGGATATTGTCCCAATCTCCCTAGAAAAGCTGCTGACCACTTGTTTCTTAATTTAAAGCAGCTTTGTGGCCATGTAAACTCTTAACAGTGGCTTTTCATTACACTGAGATAGCTTAAACTGGTTCTGTTTTTCAATATTACCTAAATGGCTTGTGTTTTCACACTGCACCACATACACAAAGTATTGGGTTTTAAGAGACTTGCAACTCTTCTAGGTATAGTTATATATTACTTCTTTCCATATTTTCTTAGAAAAAGTAATCTGCATATCACCTTCTAAGGATTTCTCCAAGACTTTTTAGCAGAGGAAAAGGTAGAAGACAGTCTGCTGGTAAGAGTGAATACAAAGACACCTATGTATCTTGAATTAGGGAAAAGAAACCCAAGGAACAATACTTTTTTGGTTGATGGAGATTTTTTTATAAGACCCTCCCATTCCAAAGACCAGAACCATGAGAGTTCATTGTGTTATACATTTATAACCTTATATTGATACTATTTGGGGTATGATTTACTTTCTTACCTTAAAAAAAGAAATAGGGGTTAGTGAAGAGATGAAGGGAAAAGTCACCCCAACTTCCAGATCTCCAGAACAGCCACCTTCTCTTTTGACACAAACTACCCTCATCATCTCTGTGCTTATGTGCAGATGCAGGCACAGACACACAGGGTAGAAGATGAAGAACCTGACCTTACAAGAAATGGTGGCTCTGAGAACTAAAAAGCTCACCCAACTACATATCCAAGTTCCTAACTCACCTTTCCTCACTCTCAGTTCTTTGACTTATACTGAATTTGCTCCTTCCAGGCTCACTCAGCTCTTTATTTATGGAGGTGATACCTCTTTCCAATCCTGTGCAACTGCAGACACGTGCATACACTAATATCAGAATCATCCCAGGTTTGTCTCCCTGCCTTTCCTTTTTCTCTCAAGGCAAATGCAAATTAACCTATTGGCAAAAAATATTTTTTACCATTTCTACATGCCAAGAATGCAGTAACCCAGCTGAGGCAAAGTCTTAGGCACAGCCCACAGGAGGGCTGCTTCTTTCCAAGGTCCACATTACTGACTGGGCCAGTCCACTCTGGGAGCTTGAGGTATCTGCTGTAGCAGGCAGGGCTGACTTAAGGGAGAATTCAAGTTAACACAGAATCTGCAAAGGACAATGGGGACACTGGGCAGTTGGGGCCAGCAGCAAAGCTGAGGTGAGCAAAGAGAGCTATATATCAGACACAGTGCTAGATCCATGCCTACATTTTAATATTCGATGTTACTAGCTTTTAGTGAGATTTTTAGTTCATCAGGATTAGAAAATGTTTTCTAAGACCCTCCTACAGAGTGAGAGTTGAGTGACTTACAAATATATAGAGCAATTTAAAAGATTGTTTAGTGGAAAACTAACACCAATAAATTAAATGCTCTTAGTGGAAGAACAGTAGAATTTCTGAGAAGAATTTTTTTTAAATCTGAGTAAGACAGTAAGACAAAAAGTTAAACAAAACCAAACACACTTAATTTAGTCTTTTGTTAATTGTGTCTGTGTGGAGAGGTGAGATAGCCATGATGTTAGAATCCGTGAGTCCAGCTTCCAGAGGGAGATCTGTCAACAAATGTCCAAGCAAGTGGACACTCTACTTCTTTGGTTGAGATTATTCCAACTGTGTTCCAAGGAGGTCTTATGCCATGTAAAGTTTTGCAGAAAATGATTTTAAAGTCAAGTAAGTTTGAGAAACCCTGCTTAATATATCTTACATCTTGGAAAAGCCCCAGAGACATTCTAGTGGTGTTCCAAAATTACCCTGACCTTGGAACACTTTCTTCAGTTTATACATAACAATGCAATCTGGAGCAAAATCTGAAAAATGTTGCTATTGTGTATTAGTCTCTAAACCCTGCAGTGGTCATCTGTCCAGGTGTGGTGATTTAGATTGTGAGTCTGAGAACTTTTCTGCCCCTGTCTCAAGGCAGGGCAGGGAGACAGGATGACGCAAAGAGAGCAATCTGCAGCGAGTTGACATTCAGGTCATTTTCCGTTTGGATGTATCATGAAAAAATGCTATGAGCATTCTTGTCTGTGACTTTTACTAATAGGACACAGCAATCTCTTCTCGGTCAATCGCGGAATTGCTGGTTCTTGAGGTTGGACTTCAGTGGACGTGGATGAATAGTTTTCTCTGAATGGTGGTTACCACTGTACATGGTGTGTGAGAACCCCAGTTGTACTATTTCCTGGCATGGGTTGCCTGGGAAGCAGGCTGGGATTCAGAGTGTGGCGTGCACAGTGCTTTTGGACTAGGAAGAAGTAAGATTGGACAGGGGAGGAGCTGAGCAATGCAGGGCCAACGACAACCTGGCATTGGGGGTGGGGAGGCAGAAGGACCTCTCAGAAGTACCTAGAGTTGGGCTGAGATAGCTAGTCCCCTGCACCCTCCATCCCTTAGGCTCTGTGTAAGCTGGGACAAGATGCAGCCAGCACAGTCTCCGAGAGATCAGAGAGGGAAGCCATCAGCACTGCCAGCAGCTGAGGCAACAGTCACCTGATAGAAGGGAGACCCAGGTGATTCCTCAGTCATCAGCCCCACTCACCCCCATACATCAGCACTGTCAGTCTTTATCCCTTTCCATTTTAGGCATTCTGGCAAGTGTAACATGGCATTGTGGAGTTTAATTCATGTTTATCTAGGCAGTAACATTTGTGCTTGGTGGTTGGCCGTACTCATTTGCAAAGTACATGCTTATATCTTTTGACTACTGCTTAGCTGACTTTAACAACTCAAAAAAGATGTGTTTGGTCTTTTTCTTGTACATTTGTAGGAGGAGTTCTTTAAATTTTCTGAATTCATGTTTGGAAATACACTGTCCCAAACCAAAGCTTGCCTTTTCACACTCCCCTCGGTTTCTTTGGCGGAATGGGGTTTGAACTCAAGGCCTCACTCCTCCAAGGCTGGCACTTTACCACTTGAGCCACTCTGCCAGCCGAGCTATTCATTTTTATCAGTCTTTCCTGTAATGATTAGTTGTTTTTGTATTCTAAGAAATCTTGCCTACTTTAGGGTTGCTTTTGATCCCAGTGCCATGATGAATTAATCTTGTGAGTAGAATAATTATAGAATAACTATTAAGGGAAGAAAACTTAGAATTTTCCCAGTTTGAACTGTTTTCAAAAAGTCACATGAAGGTCATGAAGAGGATTTCAGGAAGATCTCAGAGTGATGTAAATTTAAGTTTGGGGGTGGGTGGGCAAAGGTGTGGCCCTCTGTGTTAAAGAATAAATCCCTGAAGTTCATTGCCAAAAAAAAAAAAAAGAGTATTTTAATCAGAAGATGTTTTGAGCAAACGTTGATACACATACCATTTTTAATCATTCTTTGTTTCATATTTTTAACCAAATATTTAAACATTTAAAACTGACTGGTTGATTTTTGGCCACTACTTCTCCAAATGTATTTCATCAAGTACTAAGTCTGTACTGAATAGGAAAAAAGATCCCAAGGTCAAATAAGTTTGAGAAGCACCTGGTTAAACAGTGCTAAGCAGGTTCTTGCAGTCTTTGGTGTATTAATGTGGATTATGTCATTTCAGGAGAGATGATAGATAAATTATGTCCCCAAATTATTTGTCCATAGAATGCTTTTTTTCCTCAGACCATTTCACAGGACTAGTGTTTCACATTTTGATAAATGTATCTCAAAACAAAGGGTAAGATGTTCAATAAAAAAGAGGTTAAAAGAAAACTAAATCCAATAACGCATAGTGATAATTAAAAAATAACAAGGAGCATCAGCCATTTAAGGAAGGGTACTAGTTAATAGATATAGAAAGGCTGATAGACTCAAGAAATCATGGTTTTGAAGTCCTCCACCTAAAGTGATTCAGGCAAGGATCAGCAAGGCTAAGACCATCAGGTAGAATAGTTGGCAGGGAAACGAGTCATGTGTGCTCAGTG